AATAAATAAAGAAGTGGGACTTACTCTTTCGATGATTGTTGTTGGTTAGAGGTCTTCCTGAGAAAGTTATACTCCGAGTAAACCCAAATTCCTGTTTAATCCCTAAATGTTTGAATTTATTTTGAAAATAAATTTCAACTCCGATCTGCGTCACTCCTCTCAGATGTTGAACGAAGACGCCAAAAGCACTTACCTGATGTCATCTGCATTATGATATGGTAGGTTGAAGTGTTTCCTGACTGCGAAATTATCGTTGTTACCCTTGATGGTTTACTTATGGTTGTTAAAACGAAGTCGGAATTCTGTACCGGTTTTTTCCCACAAAGTTACCTTGTTGGTACTTATGGCAGAAAAGCAAATATGCTAGACAATTTAAAGCCAGTGGTCTAAATACTGAGTGAGTGCCAGGGAAAGTGAAACTGCTATCAGTGATGATGTGTCTACAGACTTGGCATCAGGGTTTATTGTAGCATTTTCCGAAGAACTGCTACTCTATACACCACATGGAGCCTTTCCTGAGCACTAAGATCTTAATGTCTTCAAGCCAAGAGTCAATAGTTATCTATCCTCCTTACCTTCATAATCGTCACTTCGCCTCTTCCTACAATCATGTCGCAGACTTCATTCAATAACCCTGTATCTTGAGTAGCTCTCGAGCTTGTAATGAGGGAACTATTATAAAAAAAAATGTCTTCTGAAGATACTGCAATATTGATACGTGGCGAGGCTGAAAAGTTCACAGGCTGCTAAAGGTATGTTAATTTTAAAGCTGTTTGCATTGTAAAGAACTGTTGTCATCACGACTTGGGTCTTCTTTGGATCAGGTGAGCAGGGAGTGTTTCCACCTGCATAGATTGTCTGTCGCTGGCTCAAAGTGATGAACCCAAGACCCTGTGGTCCAATGAATAAAAGCGTTGGTTGGATCCAATGACTTGACTCAAAGAGTTGTGAGTTCAATACCTAGTGTCTGCAGTGATGAACAAAAACTTGGAGAGTTGAGTTAAAGGGAGATAACTGAGACATCCGAAAGAGCCATGGCACGTGGGACTAGAATTATTTACATCGGTGGACGAAATAAAGTTCGAAATTCCAATAACCTGAAGAAGGCCGGAACGTACAACCGCCGAAACCTCGTGAATATGTCAAAAAAGATGAAGAGAACATTCCGAACAATATAAATACTGTAAGTAGCGTTGCAAGTGTTGACAAAAAATTAAAAGATTTTTGTTCATAATTATAAAAAATTTTAAAATAGCAACTAATAAAAATTCAGCGTTGTTCTTGGTCATCCCTTATCTTATTTGACAGACATGAAGTACTATTTGAAAAAATGGCCCTTATCAAAACTATAGAAAATAAATACCAAAACATTCTTTGTTTGCGGGGATATTTATATCTTATCTGGAAATGTGACCCAATTATTGCCCTTTAACTTCCTATGTATAGATTTTGCTATTTTTACACAAGTTCTTTGCATAACTATTTTTTTTCAGATAACATATGCTGAAATACTTTTGTAATAATCAAAATCCTATATCACCCAAGAAAATTTCCAATCGTCCACCACTTTCAATTCAGTTGCTCATCGCCCACCCAACAGTTGAAATCGCACACTGGTGGGCGATATCGCCCAGCTTTAAAAACCTTGCTTATAAAGTAAGAATTGAGCATCACCAGCCCACTTATGACAGAAATGGGCATTTGGGGTTTAATCTATCTCTTTTTCTATTACACACTATCCCCATGAAACGGGAAGAATAAAAAGCTTCGAATCTACATTTTAATTTTTTTTTCAAAGTTAAAGGAAAATCTTGAAGTTTTCCACAACAGATTCCTGAAAATCTTATTAGAGATAAAAAAAAAATTGAATAAAGCAATAAAAACAGAAATAATTAAAAGGTATAAAAAGGGAAAATTAAAATAGTATTTGATAATACGAAAGCAAAATAAAAGACAACTATTGTTATGAAGAGAAGGCTTCAGTCAGTCAGTTATGTGCCATGCGTGATACACGCTTAGACGATAATCTTTCGATACATGACTGACGAGGCAGATTTTTCCGCAGTAGGTTGCTATTTCTTTCTGCAATAGACCAGTTGCCTTCCAAGGCTATAGAACATGGCCTGTCCTGCTATTTACCCATAGCTGGGGGAGAGAAGAAGGGTATTGGCACGTAAGCGAACGTAATGGATTCAATTGGAATTCGAACGCGGCTCTCCGATTCCTCAATCCGAGCTGCTATCCATTACTCCACCGTGTCTCTGCAGAGAAGGCCTACATAGCTTTTAAACTGTAATTTATTTATTTAAATATCAGTCAGTATGAAGCTGACTACATACTTAGGACCACTCTTCCCAGAGAGATAAGTATTGCTCAACATGTCCCGGCATCCATTAGAAAAGGATGGATTATTTGCCTGAGTAAGAAAAGCGAGAAGAAAGGACTAAACCTCACTTGCAAGAGGAAAACATAGTTGTTAGCAAAAGGAATATGCAAATTACAAATTGGAGATACTAAAATCAAACAAGTATAAAGATTTAAATACATAGGAAGTGCAACACTGAAATCCAAGCAAATTTGGATTCATAATTGGTGGTTATAATCTTAACGGATTAATATATGCCGATGACACAGGTAACAGGTACAGAAAGGAAACTCTTACAGATGGTAGCAAAGGATAGCGAGAAGAAAGGACTAAACATCAATTGTAAGAAGACAGAAGCATAGTTGTTAGCAAAAGAAACAACCCAGAATTCAAATTACAAATTGAAGATACCAAAATCAAACGAGCACAACAATTTAAGTATCTGGAATTTTTTTTTTTCTGACAGCGGACAAAAAGTGTGACATTGAAATCCGAAGACGCATTTGGGATGACGAAAGATGAATTCCAAAAGGGAAATATTAAATTTCGTTAAAAAAATAAGAAAAGAGTATTGAACTGTTACATCATATCAGATCTCCTCTCCTATATGACAGTTAATTCTAAATAATCTCATTACTGATGAAGAAGAGACTTGACGCAACAGAAATGTGGTCCTACAGAAGGATGCTAAGAATACTATGGACCGAATATGCGAGCAAAGACGAAGTTTTAGAGAAAATGCAAACTAAAAGGACACTTATACCTAACACCAGGAAGAGACAGTTGGAATTTCTAGTGAACATAATGAGGAAAGAGAGCTTGGAAAATCTGATACTCACAGGACAGTTTGAAGGCAAGAGAAACAGAGGAAAACAACACATAACTTACCTAGCGAGTTTGAGTAAATGGATGGTGAAACAATGTTTAGGAGAGATAACAAAAAGACAAAATTTATTAAGAGCTACAAAGGACAGGAAATTGTGGAGAGCCATGATCGTCAACGCCCTAAAGGGACACGGCATATAGAAGGGAGGAGAAGGAAGTGTACGTCCTTGAAACTATTTTCATTAAATCAGGACCATCTTCTTTATGTAAATAGAAGGATTGGTTGTTACAACTGAATAGGATTTGCTTAATATATATATATATATATATATATATATATATATATATATATTTGTCTCAATATATTATTGATTAGGCGTGTATTTTCTTTTTAATGTTTCCTTTTTAATCGGCTGTGCACACAAAGAAAATACTTTCCGCGGTCGAGTTCTGATGAATGAGGAGCGATAACCGGTTAATACATTTTGTTAAAAACTACTCTATTTGTTTTCTTTTTTTTGTCGCTTTTAATTATATCCTTTTTATCGTTTAACTATGAATTCTGGAACAGTATGCTCACAAATGAATTAAAGAAGTGGACAAACTTCAAATACACTTCTAAGATTTCCCTAAAATTCTGCATCAAGCAAATACTTTACGCCGGGAGAAATAAAATTACAAGAAAAAAATAGGAGCGGTCTAAATGAGAACGACGACAACAAATGAATGTAATGAAAACTTTGAGTATTTATGTAAAGAGCCGAGCAGCGAGACAGTCGGATAGGTCAGGTAAATGTCGGCCAGCTTATCGTCTGTGTCTGCGGTCACACAAAATAAAAGATATTGGCATTTCTAATAACTGGTCATTTTCACTCGCCGACCGACACCGGCTTTTGAGTGTCGGGCAGCAATACTGAAGGAAAACGTTATTTTCGATAAACGGAAATGTGACCTGAATGCAACATAAATCTAGACACACACACACACACACACACACATCACACTTTCAGTTACGTGACAGACTCTGGACCAATCAGAGCGAAAGGAACTTAAAGACTGGAATTTCATTCTTGTTTTCGAGAAGATATTAACTAAATTTAACTTATTCGGTCATTAGGTCTGAACGGGTAAAATAAACGTGGGATAAATGTATTGTGCCAAATTCAATTTGGAGGGAGCCTTCAAAATCAGCTTTCCATATCTTGGATTTTTCCAGGTAAGGAGCAAGCAATTAATCCGTGCACCAGGTCGACCCACTGAAAAATAATAGAAAAAAAAGGCTTTTAAAAATTATAGAATAGAGAGTTTTATTTTTTTCCTTTAGATTCAGAAATCTAATGTTTTTTTTTAACTTATGAATATACAAGTATGTCATAATGCCACGAGGGTCGTAGAAAGTTTAGGCTATGTCAATCATCTATGTAAAGACGGCTTTAAACCCTTACTTTCAAAATCATTTTTCCATTCCTCTATGACAAGGGGACGTGGACCATTTGGATCAACACGTAATGTGGGATCAAAAAATTGCTTTTTATTGATTCGTTTTTACGGTTTATCAACCTTTCGTAGGTTATTGAAAACTAGAAAAGATTTTTAGACTGTAAGAATTCTTTTTCCTTTTTGAAATAATAATGATTTAGTGATACAAGTCTTGCTAATTAACCCATAGCTGGGGGAGAAGAGGTGGATTCATACCTTTCCCAAAGGTTTTTGCTCGTATGTGAATATAACTAACCCAAAGAGAATTTGAACTTGGCTCTCTGATTAACAATTAAGAGCCATTATCCATCACACCACCTGCACATCCAAGCTTACAGCACCTGGTATTGCCAAGCGGGCACCTATCGAGGTACTGACCAGCCTCGACGTTTCATAACTTAGGCGATCGTACGAGAACCGGTGTTTCAAATCTATAAGGCCGTGCCTGAAGAATTGGTTTTACTAATCATAATGTGTTAACACATTGCTTTCACACATACTGTGAATTCTTATATATATATATATATATATATATATATATATATATATATATATATTTTCTTTCAAAATTAGGAGGTCAGATAGAATACGCAACCTTGGTTTCGACCTCACGGTTTCATCAGGCTAATTCAATCAACTCACCATCCAAAATTTAAAGCTCTACATGTTATTTTTACCGTTATTTTTTTCACACGGGTATTGAGCACTGTTTATACTATTGTTTCCTGGTCTGATTCAACTCTCTGACCATTAAACCTATATATATATATATATATATATATATATATTACAATAATGTTCACTCTGCACAAGGTAGTGGGTTAAGAGGTGAGAGGCACAATTTATCAGGATATGTGCAGAAGATAATGGTTCACCCTACCCTTGAACAGGTTAAGATTGTAGTCATCGAGGAAGCATCCTCTTGGGAGTCGGTTCCGCAAAGTAGCTGTTTGTGAGAAGAAACTGCTCAAGCGGAATATGAAGGGAATGAGGGTGGCTCGCTACAATGTGCGTGGCATGGTGGGTCTTAGCCGTGAACGTTAGAACTGGTGAAAGGAGTATAGTGTTTCTGAACACTTTCCATGGAAATAGCAATAGCGTAGCCAGAGGCTTGCGACGTTTCGTCTGTGGGAAACGGGTTGTAGGATGGAAAATAATTCGTCACCCACAAGGACACGGAGATGCTTCTGGACTCTATCGAGACTGTCTCATTTTCGGCTTGATTTGGTTCTTGTAAAGGTAAAAGGTAGCAGAAGTCAGGTATTTACCGCAGCGGTACAGGGAACTGACCATTTTCCAAGATCTTTAGCGATGGATCGTATGTACGAATTAATTTTAGGTATGAAGTGAGAATATGCGTTCAAGGCAAGTCGGTCTACTTGACAGAACACCCATACGTCGCGTTTTACAGAAAATTTAGGGTCGCTTGGCGATGATAGAACGACACTCTTTTGGTTTCCGAAGCATTATATATATATATATATTAAGAAATGGACAAAGTCCGACAAGGCATTTTTCTATGAAAATTTCTCGGACATTCAGGCCGGTAAATGTTATTTAATACTGTTTATTATAAACAGAGCATTTACTTAAATACTTGTATCTATAAAAAAAAAAGAACGTTAAACATAAAAATGTCTTTAATAGATAAATTGTCGGACTTTGTCCATTTCTTAATATATGACGTCATTTGTTTACATTTGATACGCCCGTTATGAATGTACGAGATTCATAGAAGATTGAAGTTTATAAGCAGTAAATTCGACCTTGCACGCTCCTTTGTGGCCGAACGCTCCTTTGTGGCCGAGACGGTAAGGCACGTCAGCGTAAATGACGGTTCCGTATAGGATGCAGGTTCGAATCTTGTCAAAGGACGAATATTTTCTATGAAAATTTCTCGGACATTCAGGCCGGCAAATGTTATTTAATACCGTTTATTATAAATAAATTTATATATATATATATATATATATACCCCCAGGTTTCACCTAAGCGGGTCGTCAGGGAAACCTGGGTAGGTTTGACTAGGTCTGCTCTACGGTTGTATTGAGCTCATTTTAGTTAGTTGTTTACCTGTGTCGGGGTTTTTTCTTTGGGCTTCAAACCTGTATCTGTGCGATTTTTTTCAACAGACTTTCATGTTTCTAGCTGTTTCTTTTTTTAAAACATTTTTTTCCTTCGAGATTGATTTGATTATTGGCAAATCAAAAATCGAAGGTTTTTCGAGACGAGTATAGTTACCTATATATATATATATAGATAGATAGATAGATAGATAGATAGATAGATACCTCGACTTAAGTCGTTTCGCGTTAGGTCATTTTTGAAGATACATCGGTTTTTCTTAAATATTATATGGAAAAATAAAACTCGCCTTACGTCGTTTACTTTCCTCGAGTTTACGTCGGCCGTTAAAAATATTAGAAACGTCAAAAAACTAAAATAACAATAAGCACATATAAAATCCTATTTAAATAGATTTAAAAATATTATATATATATATATATATATATATATATATATATATATATATATATATATCATAAAATCATCAACAACCAAAAACATTGCATAATAAAGTATGTTCAGCAGATGTTCTTTCTGCCGATATACAGAACTCGTGCGTTGTTTTCCGTTCCAACACCGATTTTGAATTCCGATAAGTTTACATCTCTGCTCTGCCATTGACGTCCTTTCAATTACATTTCAATTGTGATTTAGAATACATTTTTGCCCATTACTCCAATAAAACGTCCCAGTACAAGTGCTAATGATAAGCGTAAGGCTATATCGCTGGAAGATAAGGTAGAAATTAAATACTTTATTCAGAATACTGTACCTATTTAATATAAATACTCTAATAGGCAATTGGAGTAATTATTTGTGGTTTATATTGTGGTTATTTTCACAAGTTGTTTTTTGACCTAAGTCTCTGGAAAAAATTAACGACGAAATTAAAGGTGAGGTTATATATATATATATATATATATATATATATATATATATATATATATATACTTAAATGGTTAATGTCAGAGTTGAATCAGACCAGGAAACGGTAGTATTAAAAAGTATGAAAAAACAAAAGTAAAAATAACATGTATATCTTTTAACTTTAAAAGTCAGGAGGTCAGTTAAATCCGTTACCTTGATTTCAACCTTACTGTATCCTCAGGCGATTTTTATCAAATGACCACCTAACGCTTTTTTTATTAAAAGAAAACAAAAAAAAACAAAAACAAAGAACGCTACATTATTATTTTCAAAAATAAATAAACAATATACAATATGTACTATTTCTGTCTATATTTCTGAAAAAAATGTGTTGTAATTATTTAATTTATTTAAAACTTTTCTCCTGAAAAATCGTCTTTAATTGTAAACGTTAATGGCCGAAATACGCTTAACTTTTAATTTATAAAAATTATAAAGAAGTTAAAAAATATATATAGAATATAAATAATGTAAATAATGGAGGATAGAACAAATATAAAGTGGAAAAAATAGGGTTTAATTTTGAATATTATGAAAAACATCATTTTGAAAACAAGGAATAAAGCGTACAATTTAAGAAAATCTGTTTGAATATGCTATCAAAGATTGGTCAATCTTTCCTAACAATTTAAATAATTAAATATATAAAAATTATCTTTACAAAATATTTTAAAAATATTTATTTTTTTTTTTTTTTTTTTTTTTTCTACAGGTTCATAATGTACAAGTTGTAAATTTAAGAATAAAGTTAAATTTAGGATTTCAAAGCTAAATTTAGTTATAGAAAGATACCGTTAAACCGTAAACAATTTGAACAGTTTAATATATAATGATCGAAACACCATCTTATAAAAAAAGTACAATACAGCGCAGATAAAGATTTAAATTGTTCTTTAAAACAGTAAAAATACAGGAATGAATTAAAACTGCTATATAATGGTTTATGACCGGTTTTTTTAATACAGGTTAGGCCAAGGATTGTAGTTTTTATTTATAGAAAAAAAAAGGCATGCCACATACAATATTTGGAAGAGAATTTGGATAAATTTAAATAAAAAAAAAAAGGAGATTTTATTTTTAATTTTCATTTTTTATTATGACTGTCTTTAATTTTTAAACATTCCAATCTAAATTTTTTATTTTAAGTCAGGTTCTTTTTGAAAAGCAAATTTTAATGAAATTTTCGCATTCAGACAAACAATGGGAACTGACCATGAAAAATAAATATATTTGGATCGTTATGTTTGAATTTTTTTCAGGTTTTTCTGAGAAGAATTTTCGCAAAAACGGTCTGTTTGACCTTTCAAGAAATCATCCCATTGTTTTTTTCGTTTTTCTTAAAATTTAACATTTATTAAAAAGTTCACATATTTTTGGTTTACCATTATATATATTATTTTTAAAATGTTTTTAAAGTTTTATCATTGGCAAAAAATTGTATAACAATAAATTTTTTGACATTTCTTTTGATAAATTATTTATTTAAAACTTTTTAAAATAAAAAGAGCGATTTACTTAAATACTTAATTCATAAAAAAAAAATTTAAAACATAAAATCTTGTTTAAAAATAAATTTTTTTGTCCATTTTAAAAATCATTAAATTTACATTTGTATACGCCAAAAAATAGAAAATGCGATATAATGAAAATCAGAATTCTATTTCCTATTGGTTTAACAAAAATTTCGAATAAAGATTATTATTTTTTTTTTACAAAACGCAATTTTTTTCCCATATAAATGGTTTTTTATTTGGCCATAAATTATCATATAATTAAAATATAATTTGGAATGCATATATTTTTTACAAGTAAAGGACGAATATTTTTTTTTCAAATTTCTCGGAGTTTATAAATAGAAATTCGGAAAAATTATGAGGTTTAATATAAATAAATTATGTATATATATATATTATTTATATTTATCCCTTTCATAATAGGCAAAATATTTCATACAAATTTATTTAATTTAAAAATATTTGAATTCTATATATAAATAATGCTCATTTAAAATCTTAATAGTTAAGTTTTGCCATCAAACAAAAATCTAAAATTTTATTTTTTGGGATTCAAAATTGTAAAAAAATGCTGATTTTTTTTGTTCAGATAAAAATGTTTTTATTACCTTTTTTTTTTTAATGATTTTTTTTAAAATTCAAAAATTGATTTGATTATTGGCATCATAAAAATCGAAAATTTCAGGAAAAAAATATATATAAATTTATATATATATATATATAGTTAGAAATCATAGATAAATTTTAGGAATAGATTTAAAAAAATCTTTGTTTCTTGTTTTTCATTTTGAAGATTTAATTTCGGTTTTTATTAAATTTTAAATAAAAAATAAAAAAAAAATGATCACGAATTAAAACTTATTCAGTTTATTGAATGATAAATTTAAAAGTTAAAAAAACGTAAAAAACTAAAAAAATTATTAATAAA